AAAATAAACGGAAACGCCTGAAAAAAAGAGGAAACACCTCAACTTTAAATATTAGGAAACGCCTCAAAAATATCCAGAAATCCCTCAACATTTTCCAGTTTTGAGGGATTTCCCAAAATAAAACGGAAATTCCTCAAAACCGGTTTTTGAGGCATTTCCGCGTTGAGAGGTTTCCGTGTTGAGGCGTTTCCATAGCACCTGCTGGGGAACTCACCTTATCTCCCTATGACAGGAAAACAACTCGCCTCAAGGAGGAATTCAAAGAAACATTGAGGTAAGTAAAAGGCAGTAAACTAAAAACTATTCTGAAATTATAGTTAAATTAAATGACATTATTATTCAACTACATTATTTAAGGTATGCTTTTTTAAAACACTTCGATGCAGAGCCCCCTATCCGACCAAAGTTGGCTGAGGCAAGAAAAGTTATTGAGGGTACAGGTGTAAAATGGGATCCTTATCTCTCTTCTAAAGTTGAAAGTAAGTCAAATAGAATATATACCTAGAGTATCTTACTTTCTGTTCCATTTTATTTTTGTCAGTGCTTAGGATCCGGATCCGTTGGATCCACAAGATTTTGGCTTCCTGGATCCGGATACTTAAAAATATGCGGAACCACGGATCCGGATCCAAGGGGTAAAATATCAATCAAAAACTACAAATTTAAACTGAACTGAACTCAACCCAAATCTGAACTTTTGAAACAAAGAGAGGTTATAAAATGACCTGGATCTGGATCCAGTTTTCTTTAATGCGGATCCGGATCTGCATCAAACTTAAATGGATCCTAAGCACTGATTTGTGTTTGCCTTTATAATTTTTCAAATATTTCTAAAATTAACTTTTTAAAATAAAAGTTTTAAGATATTTGATTACCATTGCATGTTACACGCAGCTTTGAAAGTCACCTCCCCCCGTCCTCCTCATGGCTTTACACAGCCCCTAAGCCTGTATAAGGTTAACAATTTGCTCTCACATTTTGGATCTATCACTCTCGATTAAAGTGTCAGTTTAACTTTAAGGGACTGTAACCTGAATTTTAAGTGACCCTCCATGCCAAGATGGCAAAGCCTGATTTACAACGGTTCCCGTTATAGCTTTGTCTATGAATTAGTTATCCATGTTTTTGTTTCGTTAAACTGTTGTGTTCGTTTGCGGTTTCTCTTTTAAAGTCACATTTCTTGCGCACAGAAAACAATGGAGAAATTATTTGAAAATAACTTATTATTTGACTAATTATTTGAAAATAATCTTCCACATTTTTTCACAACAAGTTTTTTAAGGTACCGTTGTACATTGGGCATTGTCATCTTTGCATGGAGGGTCGCATGAAATTACGCTTACAGTCCCTTTAACCCCTAAAACTATTGATTGATGAAACTACAACTTTAGTAAACCACTGTGACTTGCCTGCATGTTAACCAAAATATTGTAAATTAATTTAAATCATTTTTATTTAGACTTTCTCAACGCTGTGATTGAAGCTAAAAGAAAAGGATACGCCTGTAAAGTAAACCTGTTGGAGAAATGCCAGGGTATTTATTTCATCAACGTTCTATTTATGCATCCAATCCTAATTGGGAGGGGGTGCAGAGCAACCACGAGCCCCGGGAACTGACCTCTGGAGCACCCAGACTCGTAATTACCTCAGAGCCATTCGAAATCATCCCCATGCCTCAAACTACTTCTCCAAGCATCTGCAACTCTTACTTCACTCCAGGATTCTTATCTCTAATAACATATATTAGGCTTTTACATTCACCAAAAGCATTTTTTTAAAACAAATTTCAACATATAATAATACAAAAGCAATTTGTCTTAAAAAGTCGACTTTGATTGACTTTTTATGGTTGTGTTTTTGTTCATGATACACCTGTGAAATTTTATAAAATTAGTCTATCTATATCTAATGTCAATTAAAGTTAATTTTTTAAGGCACATTGTTTATTTACTATCAAAAACTTTTTAACATGATGAGATTTTCCTTAAGAAAAAATGCTTTTGGTGACTGTTAAAGTCAAATATATGTTATTAGAGATAAGAATCCTGGAGTGGAGTAAGAGTTACAGATGCTCGGAGATGACTTAAATTGAATTGTAGGTCATTGTGCACCCCTTCCCTCGTCCTGCCTCAGTCCTCACATTTTCTTATTCATTTCCTTACATTTCCTTATCCGTGTACACTATTTGTCATAGGTGCTATGGAAACGCCTCAACACGGAAACGTCTCAACGCGGAAATGCCTCAAAAACCGGTTTTGAGGAATTTCCGTTTTTTTTTGGGAAATCCCTCAAAACTGGAAAATGTTGAGGGATTTCCGAATATTTTTGAGGCGTTTCCTAATAATACAAAGTGCTTAGTATCCGGATCTGTTGGATCCGCAAGATTTTGGCTTTCTGGATCCGGATTCTCAAAAATATGCGGATCCACGGAGCCGGATCCAATGGGTAAAATATCAACCAAAAGTTGCAAAAAAAAATATTTTACTCCTAAAATTAAAATCTGATTTTTTTAAAAAGAGGTTATAAAAATTTCCTTATTTCTGAATGGTTCATCAAGTTTAGAATAAAATAAGCGAAAAAAATAAAACAAAATTTGAAAATTATTTTTTTGTTAAAAAATTCAGTAAATCTTAAAGAAATGACCTGGATCTGGATTTGGATCCGGATCCTGGATCCGCACTGGAAAAAATGGATCTGGATCCAGATCCAAATCCAGATCCAGGTCATTTCTTTAAGATTTACTGAATTTTTTAAATCATTATGGATACTTAATACCCTAACATCTAATTTCAATAATATTTTATATTATATTATATTTCAAGAGAAAAAGGCAACTCTGAACAATTCTTACAGGGCATCGCTACCCACAACTATCATAACAATTTTGTGTGTGACCAACTAACTTTCACCAAATTTATTATTATATATTTATTATTACTTTAGGGTAAGGTTAGGTTAAAAGAATTTCAGCTGGGGCTAGGACAGCTAGGGGGCCGAGTGCTGTTTTACACATTTCAATACAATGGTTAACATAAAAGTAATGTTATATATAACATTTTCCAAAATTCATTAGTATATTTCGATTTGGAAAACACATTAATTATTATCTATGCCTCGAGTATATGTTAATTGTTTGATCATTTAAAAGAAAGACGCTTTCAAGAAGAAATAACCTTTTTTAGCTTTAAATCCCTTTAAAATACATTTAAGAATTATTTAAATGCGTATTAAATATGTGTCAACTAATAATTTTAATGTTTTAAAGGGAGTGCTTGCGAAAAATGAAAGGGGGTGTAGGCTAACGGCGAAAAATAAGCGTCTTTAATTGCTACAAATCTTATTTCTATCTGATGCGTCTATAAGGAGAAAATTGTTAAAAATGACTTAAACTGAAAAACGTAACGTCCATACAAATTGAGAAAGTTGCAACATACAACTTAGATTGTAAAAATTAAAATGGTGAAAACTTAAGGGATCGAGGCCTCGCCATGCAAGAGTCCGCTCCATGCAAGACACCGGGAACTGTGGCCGACTATATCTGCATATTACATGCAAGATGCCTGTACAATATTTAAAGGAGGGAGGGCAGGGGGCGAAGGGGGGCTGTTGGGTAGAAGGACCGGGGTGTCCAAAAGTAGTTCACTTGGAACACAAATACAATTTGAAAACTTTTAAGATATTTTTGCAGAACGACCACAGCGCCAGCCCTCTAACCTATCTGGTCGCGGCGCTCGGCCAAGAAATTGTATTAACCTAACCTAATCCTGAGATAATACAAAATAGCTTTAAGTTATAGGGAAGAGAACGATTTTTCGACCTCCCCCCCCTTGGGCTCCCCACTCCCATCAATTCAGTAAATGATGAAATTACCAAATATTTAAGTTATGTAGTATTATTTTAGGGTTAGGTTAAGCTAAGACACTTTCTGGGCCGAGCCTATCAATTTTGTACATATACCTTGTTTTACAGCAAAATGATTAATATTTGATTTATATATAATTATTTTAGTGTTAAATTAGGTTAAACTCATTTCTTTGCCGAGCGCTGCGGATAGGACGGACTAGGGGGCCGAGCGCTGCGGCCAGGAGAGTCCTTTAATTCATTTTTTGTATAAAATTGGTGTATGTTTAGGTTTAGGTTTGGTAAGCTAATTGGGTCTGTCCTAGAGAACGATTTTTGCCCCCCCCCCCCCCCCCCCCTCCTATCAACTTCTCTAGGAAATTACCAGCTAATTTCTGGGCTGAGCGCTGCAGCTAGGAGTAGGACCCAAACGCCGCGGCGCACAGCCCCCTATCCTGTCCTACTCCTAGCTGCAGCGCTCGGCCCAGAAATAGTCTTTTGTCAACCTTAGTACAAAATAACATAAAGTGATCTGTCCTAGTATACGATTTTTGGACCCCCCCCCTAGCCCCTTCCCCCCCTCCTATCAATTTAGTACATGACATTGTACATTTATTTTTCAGCAAATTTATTATTATTTATTTTTTTATTTAGGGTTAGGTTAGGTTTAGATACTTTCTGGGCCGAGCGCTGCGGATAGGATGGGCTAAGGGGCCGAGCCCTGCGGCCACGGGTTAGGTTAGTTAAGACACTTTCTGGGCCGAGCGCTGCGGCTAGGATGGGCTAGGGGGCCGAGCGCTGCGGCCACGGGTTAGGTTAAGTTAAGACACTTCCTGTCAGACCCATGTACAAAATTGATAGGAGAGGGGGGGGAGGGGCTGGGGGGGTTCAAAAAAATGGTATACTAGGACAGATCACTTTATGTTATTTTGTACTAAGGTTGACAAAAGACTATTTCTGGGTCCAAAAATCGTATACTAGGAAATTACCCAAAATTGATAGAAGGGGGGCGGGGAACCGGGGTCCAAAATTTATATACTTGGACGGACCCCTGTCTTATAGCCACAACAATTGGCCCCCTGGCATATTCAGAAATGGGGTTATTTATTGAAGAACGATTTAAAAGATATTACCACCTAATTAGGAGAATAAAACACAACCTGGTATCTTTTCCACTTGACATTTTAGAGTTTGAGTCACATCTCCTCCCTCTCCGGTCTGGCCCTCACATTTGATTTATCTACAATTAAAATACGAAGGCCGCGAAATGAAAGGCCGAAATATTTTTAAGCATGATAAATAATACATGAACAAAATTGATAGAAAAAGGGGTTATTAACGTTTCCTCTAGATTGGGCCCAAAAAATAAGGCAAAAACAACCTTTTTACATAAAAACAAGACGTTAAAATGTGTTTAACTTGTAACCACGCTGATAAGTTTCAGTGTGACTGTACTCTACCTGGTTTGGTTTGGATAAATCCGTGAGGCGGGAGAATCCCTGACGTCTTATTGGTCCTCTACTCGAGCCGTTCTCTACGCCTATTGGATGTGAGGAATAGAGAGGGGGGAAGGGGGTAAAGAGGTATAGATAGATAGATAGATAGATAGATAGATAGATAGATAGATAGATAGATAGATAGATAGATAGATAGATAGATAGATAGATACCTAGGTATATTTGTTAGGGTTGCCATGGTGAGAAGCCAAGACTGATCGTTTTCGATAATTGTTCCGTCGAAACCTATCGTACCCTATACACCCAAACATAAATTCACCATTTTCTCATTCTTTTAGATTTTACACTTTTATAGTTCATAAAAGTTAAAATTTTGACGGAAAATTCCGAAATATAAAATTTAGTTAATGTCACAGATAAAAATGCAAGCGCTAAGAAATGTGGAAAATGAGAAATGCTGTAACTTAAAATATGTTATTCATTAATATTATTACGTTTTATCCTCTCCTGGCCACCTTACCGGCCCCCGACCATCTTTAGACCAATCAAACAAATTTTTTTTAAAAAACGTCATTTCTTTTTGATACTAAAGAGAGCAATGAATTATTTTGGAAAAGTCACCAGCAATCTGCAATGAATTATTAAATAAAGAGAAATATTCCCCAAAAAAACACGAGAAATAGTCAATAGTAAATAGTAAATGGTAAATGGTAAAAAGTACGTTTGAAACGTTTTAGAATATTTGTAGAGTGCAGATGTAACTCCAAGGGACCCTATATGTTCGATTCACAACGGTGACCTGTAAACCTCTGTCTGAGCAACACTGAGAAAAATCACCTCGTTTATCAACCTTAGGTAGTCGTATCTCCAGCAGAAATTCACAAATAGTAACCCCAATAAATCATTATCAATTTTCAGCTAGGAAAATAATAATTTCTAATTTATGCTTGATCAGGCAAAGGTTTACAGATACCTTTGATAATCTATAAATGAATGGTCACTTTAAATAAGACCTCCTGTCCTTTAAAGGGGCGGGGGGGGGGTAACAGTAGGGTGTAATTTAACTGTTTTCCTGAATTGTTTTAGCAAGTATATTTCCGGACTCAGGCAGGAACAAGGTAGCCATAGCCTCCTCATACGCCATAGGAGCATCTTAATATATACAGACAATAGATACTAAACGCTTCCACATACGACATAGGAGCATCTTAATATTTATAGACAATAGATACTAAACGCTTCCACATACGACAAAGGAGCATCTTAATATTTATAGATAATAAATACTTAAGCTTCCTCATACGCCAAAGGAGCATTTTAATATATGTAAATAATAGATATTCTATAATAGCTTCCTCATACGCCATAGGAGCATTTTAATATATATAAATAATAGATATTCTATAATAGCTTCCACATACGCCATAGGAGCATGTAAATATATATAGATAATAGATACTCATAGCTTCCACATAAGCCATAGGGGCATTTTAATATATGTATATATATATATATATATATATATAATCTCTCCCACCTTAGTTCTGCTCATATTAGATTTACCTATAATATCTCCCACTTTAGTTCTGCTCATATTGGATATACCTATAATCTCTCCCACCTTAGTTCTGCTAATATTAGATTTACCTATAATCTCTCCCACTTTAGTTCTGCTAATATTGGATTTACCTATAATCTCTCCCACCTTAGTTCTGCTAATATTAGATTTACCTATAATCTCTCCCACTTTAGTTCTGCTAATATTGGATTTACCTATAATCTCTCCCACCTTAGTTCTGCTAATATTAGATTTACCTATAATCTCTCCCACCTTAGTTCTCCTCATATTGGATTTACCTATAATCTCCAAAGTTTTCTGTAGAAGAGTGTGTATTATTCTCTCTAGAGAGGTTTCTAAACAAACAATATTCTTTCACAAAACTAAACATTTTCTGTTGGTAATATATTGAATACTCATGGATTGATAGAATTTAGGAATTCTAAAGAACTTGTCTTTTCTTCCTTTGTTCTTGTTGAATTCATCAGCTGATTTGTTTAACTATCCAAGAAAGTACAGTAGTGGGCAAAAAATATTTGACATAATTCCTATGCAAGGTTTCTATTCATTGTTCCTGTAAATTGTTCCACTCCATGGTTCAAGTTCATGGTTCTTATCCATGGTTCCACTCCATGGTTCCACTCCATGGTTCCACTCCATGGTTCCTATTCATGGTTCCTATCCATGGTTCCTATCCATGGTTCCTATTCATTGTTCCTGTACAAATTGTTCCAATCCATGGTTGAAGTCCATGGTTCCTATCCACGGTTTCACTCCATGGTTCCTATTCATGGTTCCTGTCCATGGTTCCTATCCATGGTTCCTATCCATGGTTCCTATCCATGGTTACTAATCATTGTTCCTGTACATTGTTCCAATCCATGGTTGAAGTCCATGGTTCCTATCCACGGTTCCACTCCATGATTCCTATTCATGGTTCCTATCCAAGGTTCAATTCCATGGTTCCTTTTCATGTTTCCTGTACATTGTTCCACTCCATGGTTCAAGTCCATGGTTCCAATCCATGGTTCCTACAAATACCCTTGAACCTGTAGAACTGGTTTAAGCGGAAGTATTTAAACTTCTTTCCCAACTACAGTTAAGTACCTAACCCCTTTTAACCCTCCCCCTCCTCACTATCTCTTCACATACAAAGTTTTCTCCTCGAGGTAACGCTTTCACACTACACAGTTGCCGAGCATTCATTTTTATTTTTGGGGAAAAAACTGGTTTCTCCGAATTTTTATTTCCAAAAGGTTCACAGATGATCAAAATTTCAAATATTTGCCTCAAGCTGGATTCGATTTTCATCAAATTTTGAAAGTCAACAAAATTTGTTTGTTTTTGTTTCACAATGTATACTCAAAGAGAAATTATTCACAATTGAAATAGAAGAAAGGTGCGAAGCGCCCTAAGAGCCTAGTAATGCCAAATATTTTGAAAGAAATATTCCTGTTAGATCTAGAATAACAGCAGCTTCATCTAGTAATGAATCTACATCCATGTTTCCTCGAACTTCGCTAGCAAAATCCTTAAACCTGAATGTAAACAATATTATATACTGTACATTACATAAACAGGTGGAATTATATAATATACTAGCTTGGGAACCCAGCATTGCCCAGGTTACTCATAGACACTCCCACCGTTTACCCGCACTTGGTCGTAAATTACGATGTTAGCTATTTATCCCGAAAAAAGTCGACCCACTCAACTTAGAATCTAAAAACCAAAGTAAGAACATTCCCGTGGCTCTCCCGAGTTCACCAAATAATATTTGAGGCAAATCTGTCCAGGAGTTCCCAAGTTATGATCGGACAAACAAACAAACAAACACCATAGCACCCAACCAGAGATTACAACTTTATATATATAGATATTGCCATTTTTGCTCAGTTTCCAGCTATATTACAGTGGAAGGCGATTATATCCATACAATGAAGACGACTTTTTAATTTCAGTTTTGATTGTTAGCAAGCTTGTTTTGAATTATAAGGTTACACAAGACACAAGACACGCTAAAAGAGGTTCTATAAACCGATTTATTTTTTACATTTTGCACTTCAGGATCTGCAACATTTTTATCACTAAACAATTTAAGGGATTAAATGTTGCTTTCAAGTGACCATTTTTATCTTATAAGTTAAGAATCAAAGTTTTGCTGATTTTCTTTAAACATTAATAAATTTATTAAATTTTTAAGAAAAAAAAATTTCAGGTATTATTTTTCACTTAACCTGCCACACAAAAATTTGGACCCGAACGGTTCAGCCACTTTGCCGTTTATTAAATACAAACAAGCCAAGTTTATAAATAAATAGTTTGCACTAATAAATTTAAATAAATAAATAATAAAATTTATTTTAGAAAGACATTTCAGTCATTAATTTAGCCTAATAACAGTTAAATGGCTTGAATAAGGTTTAGAATAATGTTTGTTCATATTTAGATAAAATATATCAGGATCATGAAAAAAATAAATCTTTGAAAATAGAATTTTTATTTTTTGTTGCTTTACCTGACAGTATCCTTCTCTGTGTACAGTAGATCCACCTCTTCTCCATTGTCGTACTGCAGAGCCCAGATCTTACCTAAAATGGCGTCGATTCAAGTAGTGTAGTAGGAAGACGACTAAAATTCTTATTTTTGTTCTTAGCTATACTTGTTTAGAACTTGATAACAAAATTATCATCAATTTTAGTAAGATAGCTTGAAGCTTCTCAGATCACAGTGATGTGGGGGGAAAGACCCTCTGGGAAACGAAATTTGAGTCAAAGTATTGAGGTACAAGTTACAACGTACTCATGCCTCTCCCACGTGCAGCCAATTGGCTGAAAAAGATTGCAAAAATTGCAGCAACCAAAAGTTTTAAAGTGATAGCTCTAAAAATAATGGCGTTACGCAAATTAGATAGACCCCGCCCCCCCCCTTTCTTCAAGTTTTTACAGTTAAAAGCATTAAGTGCATAAGTTCTAGCGAGGTGTAAATCATATCATTTTATGGATTTCTTTGATATTTCTTGAACAGTAAAAATAAATGTCTGCTAGGATCGTATGATATAGTTAAATATTTCTGGCAGCTAGAAATATTAATAATTAATGAACTTCACTTTGAAATGACCCTTATGCACTATCATACTTTTACGCAGCAAGTTTAAATCAATTTAAACCCCCCGGCCACTCTATCCCCTCCCTTAAGCCCCCTCCCGCAACAAACAAAAAATATCAGTTTGACAAAAATTTAAAATCTAATCTATTTTCCCCCAAGTTCTTTTTAAATTTTTATCTCAAAAAAATGTTCATTTCTATATAAACATTGGGAATATATATTTTGTGGGTTTCACTCTTAAAAATAGTTTAGTCTTGATTTGGCATTTGGCTGTGTCATATTTGTTATTATTAAATTATTTTTTAAACGAGATTTTTTTGTCCCCAGGACATGGTCGGATGCCATACTGATAGGAAACATCACAATCATTGCTTCGTGACATCTGTAAGCCCGGATTGGATACACCCAAATTAAACCAAACTAAACTCACCAGAAAATCCTTCAGTAAACTTCCATTTAGTGTGAGCACTAGGTCGGGAACTCTGGAAATGAGACGTCAAATCCTAGAGAAAAAAATGTCTAGAAAAATGTGGAAAATATATGGCGGGAAACCTTGAAAAATGATAATCTGACTCGAAATGTACATTCTGAACATAATACAACTTATAAAATATGTAAATAAGTAGAGCTTTAATATAAAATAAAAGTTTATAACTCTTAAATATTATATTAATAAAGGGGACAGTATCCATAAGATTTCCAGGGACCCTACATGAGGAACATGTTCACTGCGGTACCATTTAAACCATTGACTAATGACGATATTCAGATTTGTAAAGCTAAAAATCAAGTATTTCCAATTGCAATTTCTCTTCAAAAGGAAATAAAGGCTTTATAATCAGACGATGAAATAATTTGACAGAAATGAACACATTTAAGATAAAAAACAAAGATCTTCCTCAGATAAATATTTAAAGGGTAACAGTCTGTTGTAAGTTATTGTTTACTGAAATTCAACTAATTATTTCTATTCATTATTTCTATTCATTATTTCTATTCATTTTTATGAATTTACTGTAAATAATTGAACAATTAGATTTGCTAGACTCATATACGGAAACTAAATGAGAAAGGTACAAAATTAAAAGAATAATTTATCTTTTAGTGTCAAAGAATAAAAAAGGTGATCAGAAAACAAAATAAAGGTAGTCTGGAAAAACTTAACAAGATGAAAAAGGATGAATATTTAATGGATGAAAGAATTAATGAATTAATGAATTGATGAGTTAATGAATTATTGAATTAATGAATTTACGAATTAATAAATTTATGAATTAATGAATTAATGAATTAATGAATTAATGAATTAATGAATTTATGAATTAATGAATTAATGAATTAATGAATTAATGAATTAATGAAATAATTAATAGATAAATGAATTAATGAGGTAATGAATTAAAGTATTAATGAAATAATGAAAGAATGAATTAATAAAAGAATTAATTAATTAAAGAATAAATTAATGAAAGAATGAATAAATGAATTAATGAATTAATGAATTAATGAGTTAATAAATTAATAAATTAATGAATTAATGAATTAATGAGTTAATGAATTAATGAATTAATGAATTTACGAATTAATAAATTAATGAATTAATGAATTAATTAGGGTTATTTGGGTTAATTTCCCCCATCCCCACTTAGAATCCTGGGGGATTACCCCCCCTAGGATCTTGGGGACATAAATATCCCCGTATAGAAAAACTGATCTCCATTCTCCATGTCCATGATTATCATTAAGAGGAAAAATGTAAAAAAATGTGATAATAATGTAGATAATTTTACTCAATCAACTTTAACAAAAAAAAATTTGATAGAGTTTGTTAATCCCAGAAATTATTGGGAAATTGAAATGAAACCTGGCTAAAACCCATAATTTGATAAACATCATGAAGGGATTGCACATGGTCTATGGGGTGTAAAAGAATTTCTGGGGGGGGTTTGTTTTCTATCTGTGATTTCTATCTGTAATGTGGATATTTTCAATCTGTAATGTTATTTTCTATCTGTGTTATAAATTAATAAAAGAATGAATTAATGAAAGAATGAATTAATGCAAGAATGCATTAATGAATTAATAAATTAATAAAAGAATGAATTAATGAAAGGATGCATGGATTAATGAATGAATGAATGAATTAATACCTTAAAACTTTCCCCCCTGAAGGATGAAAATCTCTTCTTAACGCTCATCGTATGTACTTCTTTCTACTTAATCTTTTATTTTATAACATGTCCTAAAAAATAAAAATGTTGATATTTTCCTTCAGTCAGGACAGCTGCACACATACAACTCAGGAATACCATTTAGACAGTAATATCATGACTAAACAAATATAATAATAATCCCATTGGGACAGGACAGGACACTTTCTTTCACACTGTTAAAGATGGATTTAACAAAAAACATGCAAGATGCAACTTTTTTTTTAAAGATAATGGTCGTTGTTTTGTTTTGTAAACATATATATCATTTTTGTTCTTGGAACAATTGTCTCTTTTTATTTTATTTCATTTTAGTTTATTCGGGATTTTTTATTGTTTTTAACTTATATTTGTAGAACTTTATATCGTTTGCATTTAACTTTTGGTTTGATTTCAATATAACATTGACTATTTTACAGATAATTAACCATTTTGAAGATGTTATTGCAACAAAATATAAAATGGCAAAAATGACATAGTTGTTCAAACCTAGCGTGATAGTCGGGCTGGAGAGAATATAATCATGAAATCGTTGTTTAAAATAAAAAATGGAGTCTTTGTTGTAAGCTTAGAAACATCTTGCGGTTTTCGAAACAACAGCTTCTGTACTTTTATAAATCCTCAATTCACAAAGTAGCATGATGATATTCAAAGCTTAATTTTTAAAAAAATTTTAATGTTATAAATTTCTAACTTAAGAAAGTGTTTATGGATATTTTTTTAAAACTGTTAGAAAACATGAACTTACTAAACTTATGTAAAACATAAAGATAACTCATGAGTGAGTAAGACGAAATAAAATTATGAAATATAAATGCTAAATGCGACGATATCGAAAAGCTTGAAAAAGAAAGATCTGCTGAATCAGCGATTATCAAATTTTTGATTTAATCAGCTGCTCTGTATTAGGAAAGAGGGGGGGGGGGGCAAAAAAGGGGAAAGGGATATTGACTATTCGTCCAAATGTCTATTTTGCCTTTTTCATGGTTTAATAATTATTCCACTTAAGCACAACGATATCCCATATTTCATCAATTTATCCGAAAGTTTTTCATAATAATTTTTTTTTAAAAACCTTTTAGATACCTGTTAAGAATTTGATGTTTCTACATGTAGAATTTACATCTGGTTCCTTCGTTCTAGCTAAACAGTGAGCTAAGTTGGCTATCGTGTTTAAATTGATATTAGAAAAAAAATCTTGAGGTTCAAAACTTTTTTTAAAGATGTGATTTAAACAATTTTAAATCTCAAGTTTTGTAAAATCTTGGATTGCGAAAATTTTACTGTCAAGCTTTGTTATTTTTGCTGTATGGGTTATCATGCAGAAAACTGCTAGAACTAACAAGCATGTCAGAACTTGAGATCATGAATGAAGACGATAATTTGATAGAGCTGGAAACAGGAGTGGCTTATGATATTTCCAGGGGGGGGGGGATAAGTCAATTATTGTTCGCAAAGCTCGCCGAATTTCCCCCCTCCTGATTTTTTTAAAATGGAATTTGGTCAATTTTATGTCCTAATCATGAAACAGCTGGGGGATTGAAGGAGGGAAGTGTGTTAGCAAGTTTCTTTTTTTAAGACACGATTTCGAGTGAAAAAGTGGCGCCGTAGGGAAATTTTTATTAATCTTTTCTTGAAAGTCTTGAAGGTCAAAATTCAAGGACTAGAAGGTGTCTTCTCTCTCTTTGTGCGCTCCTAATTTTTTCAGGAGGAACCTCCACCCTCCCCCCCCCCTCATAAGCCGCCTCTGGTTGTGAAGAATTAAGATTATTGTTTATTAAATTTGCACTGTTTAGCTTCATTTTCCTTTTAACCTGAAATTAATTTAGGTTAATCAAAAACTCAAAAAAGATTCCGGGAATGGAAGCTTTAAATGACGAGAAGAGGGAAAGGGAAGCTTTAGACGTTGTTTCAAGTGACCACTCCAGATAAAGAGATGTCTAGCCGATTCACAGTGGTACCTTTTTAAAGATTTTGCGTATTAAAAATGGTTTGTCTAAAAAATTACTTTTCAAGCTAGAGAAACGATGATATCTTCCACATTGTTAATTGAATTGTTTAAAGGGTTTACCGTTGTAAACAGGGCGTAATCCTCCTTAAATGGACGGACACTTGAAATTATGACGACAGTTCCTTTAGAAAGTTTAGATTTTTTGTCCGCGATATTTTTATTATATTTTACACTGTTATTTTCAATGGGTACAGAGAGGGTTGCAATAAAAGTATCACCTTAAAGTTAAAATTCTAAATCTATCTGTGTTGTTGAATATTTTCTATCCATGTTGTTGTTTTCTATCTGTGTTGATGTTCTATATATGATGTTGTTTTCTATCTGTGATGTGGATATTTTCAATCTGTAATGTTGTTTTCTGTCTGTAATGTGGATATTTTCCATCTATATTGTTGTTTTCTATCTATGTTGTTATTTTCTATCTGTGATGTTGTTTTCTATTTGTGTTATTGTTTTCTATCTATGTGGTTGTTTTCTATCTGTGATGTGGATATTTTCCATCTATGTTGTTGTTTTCTATCTGTGATGTTGTTTTCTACCTGTGATGTTGTTTTCTATCTATGATGTTGTGTTCTATCTGTGTTGTTGTTTTCTATCTGTGTTGTTGTTTTCTATCTGTGATGTTGTTTTCTATCTGCGTTGTTGTTTTCCATCAATGTTGTTGTTTTCTGTCTGTGTTGTTGTTTTCTATCTGTGATGTTGTTTTCTATCTGTGTTGTTGTTTTCCATCTATGTTGTTGTTTTCTATCTGTGTTGTTGTTTTCTATCTGTGTTGTTGTTTTCTATCTGTGTTGTTGTTTTCCATCTATGTTGTTGTTTTCTATCTGTGTTGTTGTTTTTTATCTGTGTTGTTGTTTTCTATCTGTGATGTTGTTTTCTATTTATGATGTTGTTTTCTATCTGTAATGTGGATATTTTCAATCTGTAATGTTGTTTTCTATCTGTGTTATTGTTTTCTATCTGTGATTTCTATCTGTAATGTGGATATTTTCAATCTGTAATGTTATTTTCTATCTGTGTTATTATTTTCTATCTGTGTTGTTGTTTTCTATCTGTGTTGTTGTTTTCTATGTGTGTTATTATTTTCTATCTGTGTTGTTGTTTTCTATCTGTGTTGTTGTTTTCTATCTGTGTTTTTATGAAGAATGTGTGATGTTGTTTTCTATCAGTGTTGTTGTTTTCTATCTGTATTGTTGTTTTCTATCTGTGTTGTTGTTTTCTATCTGTGTTATTGTTTTCTATCTGTGTTAATGTTTTCTATCTGTGTTATTGTTTTCTATCTGTGTTGCTGTTTTTTATTTTTGTTATTGTTTTCTATCTTTGTTATTGTTTTCTATCTGTGACGTGGATATTTCTATCTGTGTTGTTGTTTTCTATCTATGTTGTTGTTTTCTATCTGTGATTTGGATATTTTCCATCTATGTTGTTGTTTTCTATCTGTGTTGTTGTTTTCTATCTGTGATGTTGTTTTCTATCTGTGTTCTTGTTTTCTATCTGTGATGTTGTTTTCTATCTATGTTATTGTTTTCTATCCTTGTTATTGTTTTCTATCTGTGACTCGGATATTTCTATCTGTGTTATTGTTTTCTATCTGTGTTATTGTTTTCTATATATGTTCTTGTTTTCTATCTTTGTTATTGTTTTCTAGCTGTGACGTGGATATTTCTATCTGTGTTGTTGTTTTCTATCTATTTTGTTGTTTTCTATCTATGTTGTTGTTTTCTATCTGTGATGTTGTTTTCTATCTGTATTGTTGTTTTCTATCTGTGTTGTTGTTTTCTATCTGTGTTGTTGTTTTCTATCTCTGTGATGTTGTTTTCTATCTGTAATGTGGATATTGTTTTCTATCTGTGTTGTTGTTTTCTATCTGTGATGTTGTTTTCTATCTGTATTGTTGTTTTCTATCTGTGTTGTTGTTTTCTATCTATGATGTTGTTTTCTATCTGTTTTGTTGTTTCTATCTATGATGTTGTTTTCAATCTGTTTTGTTCTTTTCTATCTGTTTTTTTTTCTATCTGTGTTGTTGTTTTCTATCTGTGATGTTGTTTTCTATCTGTTTTGTTTTTTTTCTATCTGTGTTGTTGTTTTCTATCTATGATGTTGTTTTCTATCTGTTTTGTTGTTTCTATCTATGATGTTTTTTTTCTATCTGTTTTGTTGTTTTCTATCTGTGTTATTGTTTTCTATCTGTGTTGTTGTTTTCTATCTGTGTTATTGTTTCTAACTGTGATGTTGTGAAGAATGTGTAGGGTATGATAAGTTCCTGAATGGAAGAATGAATGAAACGTGTATATCAACTGTCAGGGTAAAAGCATTATAAGATCCATCATCCCTTCATTTATTCCTTCATATATCATATATTAGTACCAATCCGCCTTAGAAATGTCAAATATAAAAATTTAAATCAATTTTGATCATTAAGAAGAAGAATATATATTAATCTCACATTTTGTACTGTTCTTTTACGTCTGCAGGTGTAATAGATAATTGTTCTACAGTACAACTTACTAAACAGACCTAAAACTTGGGTTGATACTTTCTAGTCTGACGTATAAGAACAACTCAGGAACTCTACAATAAATAATAAATAATAACAATAAATATGATAATTTCAAGCTTATTGTATGAAATAAAGTCTTTTTATTTAATGATTTTTCAAAGAACAAAACAAGTTTAAAGTTGAAGAGAATCATGAATATACGAAAACAGACCGTTTAAATTCAGTACAGTCGTCTCTGAAGTCTCATCCTTTGTGGGTAACCCTGTTTGTAAATAGTCAAATTTGTCCTATCTATCCTGTCTGTGTAGTTTGCAAAAAATAAATAAATCTCATGGTTAAAAAGTAGTTTTTCTTAAGTAATTTCCTTATTAGCAATAATCTATAAAATTTAATAATATGAAAAAATTGTGCAAATGAAGGATAAAACACAAACCAAAATTTTGTTATATATATTAATTTGGTTTTTATAAATAAATATCTAAATCATAGTTTGCATGAATTCATGAAATTGTCAATAAATTCATAAATCTCGTGCTTTTTCAAATATAGTAAACTAAGGAAATCATAAAAGTACGAAAATTCCTAAAATAGAAAGTGAACATGTGACGTGGTATTTCGGAATTTTCTGAAATAAATAAAAAAAAATGAGATAACTTTATAATTTGTTTTCATGATTTCTCATTTTTTTTTATTTACAAAAACATTGAAATCTAGAATTCTTAGTGGAAAGTCTATATACTGCTTTCTTGGCTAGTAACGAATAACTATCGGTCATCTGTATACAGCAAGACGCGGCAAACTGGACTTTTATAGCTAAACGCGGCAAACTGGACTTTTATACATGAACACAGTACACTGGACTTTAAAAACTGGACGCTAAAAACTGGATTTTTATACCATAACACAGTACACTGTACTTTAAAAGCTGGACGCGGCAAAATGGACTTTTATACTTGAACACAGTACACTGAACTTCAAAAACTGGGCGCTAAAAACTGGATTTTTATACTTGAACACAGTACACTGGACTTTAAAAACTGGACGCTTAAAACAGGATTTTTTCACTTGAACACATTACACTAGACTTTAAAAGCTGGAGGCTGCAAACTGGATTTTTTACTTGAATACTGCTCACGGTACACTTGCCTTTTATACTTAAACAGAGTACACTGGACTTTTTAATTTGAGCACAGTACATTGTACTTTTATTCTTGAACACAGCACACTGAGCCCAAAACTCAAGACAGGGTATTGTTATGAAAACCAGTTTTAAAACCTTGGTTTTACGAATGGGGTTAGGCAGTTTTTTGGATATCAATATTTTTGTTTATGAAATATTTTTTTATTTATTTTCTTTATATTCTCCATTTTTGTTGAATCTCTTAAATCAAAATCTACAAAATTAAATATAATTTTTTTGCGCTCCACTTCACTCTCTTTAGTTTATTTCAAATGAAGCATTTGGTTCTTATCCAGAATTACTGATTCAAAGCCTAAGATTTACGAGGATTTTAATCAGTGATTCTGGTTTTGAACTGGCGCTAGGTAGTTCAGCAAGGTCTCTACAATATTTTAAATTCGGTTCTAAGTAATGAATAATTTAGAAATTATGGTGTTAATGTGTTATTAATTGCACGGGATCGAGCAATATCTTGCTGGATCTTAATAGATTTT